TTTGATACATCTGGTGCTCAAAGGTATTTTTGTGTTGTGACCATTTCGAGTTAAATATTTTATTTAAAATAATTTATTAACTTGAAAATACTTGTGCTCATCAAAATCCTTGGACAAAGGCATTTATTGGAAATTATTCAGAATTCTAAAGTCGGAATATTATTCTTGTTTTATAAAATTCAACAAGGAACTGTTGACACAAAACACTAAACCTGCTATAGAAGACGTCATCGTCTTCCATCTTGGAACTTCATCGGGATTCGAACTTTAATTCATTTAGACCTTTTTAGTGATTTTAGGATTAAATTTTGTATTAGATTCACAAGCCATAAATCCATTTTCATGTTTTTTTCCTTTTTTAGAGAAATCAATTAATTTTGTTAAATTTTACAAAGATTGTTCGCTTCACTCTATCTTTGTTACTTTGCATAAGCCTAGACACGTAACAGTGACGAATTATCATATATATGACCTAACTTAATACAATAATACTATTTATAGGAGAGAAACACAATCAGTGCTCATGACCTTGCGCATTGAAACAATATATATTATGTATAGGAGAAAAACATAAACAGTGACCAGTCATAGATTTATCTAACCCATGGAAACAATACATATGATTTTTTTTGGACAAAAACAATACAGATGATTATTTGGACGAAAACACAATGACTGACCAATCATGGATAAATCTAAGGCATCAAAACTATATGGATGACGTATGTGTAACAGGATAGAAAGCCAATGGATATGAAGTGAAAATATTAACACGATGTGTGCGAATGAAAAAGAAATATAATAATGAAGTACGAGTCTCAAACCTTTGAAGATAGGGATGCACTAACGAAAAGGAAAGAAAATATAATTAAAAACGACAAAGCACTCTGATAATGCATTGTCTTATGCACCAATAACTCACAAACTAGATTTATGATTACAAAATTATACTATATTGTTACGTATATGTGATTAAATTTCTTCTGTGTACGTTTTAAAATTATTTTTATTTCATTTTTGTTTATACTATTTATTGCAATGAATATTTTTGTCACATTCGGGATTGTTTAATTAAGATGAAGTATTACATGAGGATTATCTTTTTTTTTGTTCGTCTTGGGCTGGTAACAATGTCAACAGTAAGTTAAAATGATTGGTCAGTATCAAGATCATACTTTCTTTGCATGATCTCTATGTGTAAACAACGTTTTGTATGATTGGTTCTTTAGTGGGGATAAATTGGTCTTCATGCTAAAGTTAGCGTAGTAAGAGACCACATGACCAATCTCGCCAGACTTGAAATGAGGCGTTGGGGTTTTAAATACGCAATCCTAATATTTTTTGTATTCACAAACTGTAAGTCCTGTTTACCAATTTTTACATTGTTGTCTAGGGAACTGAATTGTTTTGTTAAAATATACAAAGGTTGTTGGTTTTTACTCTTTCTTTGCTATTGAGTACGAGCCCTTGGCACCTAAAAATATCAACGTCGTCGTTCTCAGCTAATGCATTTTATAATCACCATACCGTGAGCACGTTATTAATAAAGATAGGTGTGGTTCATGTAACCCGGTACACTGGCAACAATTCAAAATTAACAGTTAAATATCCAATTATATTTTTCAAAATTCAATCTATTACACGAACTCGTTGGAGTCCTTTTGCCCGGAAAGGTGGAGCCACTGAATTGCTTTGTTATGAACTACTTGTGCTTGCTGCTGAATATTCTGATATATTGACAGCTATGTTGCTCTGTTTCCAACGATGTTGCCATGTTGGCAATTATATTCCGTTTCCTATAGTGTTGTACTCTTGCGAACTCTGATCCTTTACTGTCAATGACGTTGCCTCATTGATAATACGGTACCATGCGGCCAGCTACAAATATGCTAAACTGGCTAGCGTATTTTATTCAATAAATGTCAATAATAATAAAATATATGCATCGGACGAATCATTTCCAACATATAAAAAACATAAAAATGCACACATAAGTATCGCAAGAGCTTTTATATACTGCCAAAGTGTCATATCCAAACACGGTAAAATTTACAGAAATTCAAAATATCAAGAATAAAAAAGGTACTTGACATTTAAAATATGGATATAATTTACAAATATAACATGAAAATCTAACTAGCAGTCACCCCTATGGCTGTAATAAACTGTCTGTAACTTAGACACTACCTGACAAGATCTCGGGTTCACAATCCCCACACATTCCAAATGCATCCTAAATAAAAATACGTTCAAGACCTAAGGTTAAAGTACCCGTGCACATCGTAAATATGGGTACAACGAGATGCACCTATTACTCGGTTACTATTTGTCAAAGGAAACAAGAAAATAAATTTCATCTAGATAACGCATCAACGAAATCCATTACGTACAACCGTTCTAATGCATGAGCAAGTTATCTTCTTGTCTTTTTCTATGACAGGATATATGTACCATCTAGCCAATCAAAACGATTTGATATGGTATAAAGGAGACAAGCTACCAATATAAAACCAACATAAGTCCTTCAGCCAATCAAAATACGGATTTGTGTGTAGCAATCTTCAAGCAATATTTAAATCTTATTAGTGTATTCCAATATCAAAAGTATGTTTCATCTTTGAAATGAATGAACTTCTTTCAAAAAATGTCAAAATGACACCCCTGAATGTGCTCGGTTCTCGGGTAAAGACTCCAGAAACATTCAAACTTCTAAACCAGTAATGTTTTAAACACGATAAATACAATTTTATTCAAATACTTTAGATGTCCCATGAATTTAAACCACAAAGAAATCTTTGAAATATAAACCTTACTTTAGAAAACAATCAACTTTTATAACATCTAGATAATTCATTTTATCTTAGAATGTAATGTGTATGATGTCTGATTTATATTTTTAACGTAGCTTTAAAAATTTTCAGCCATATCCTAATGCTAACCTCTTAATGCGGCGCGCCGAAGAAAGACTTCTATTAGTAACAAAGTCTTAGGTATTACTAGGCCGGGGTTCGAAACCACGACCTCCCTCACCCGAGGCGGACGTTCTAAAAATTAGGCCACCTGAGCGGTCTAAAATGGAATGAATAACCTAGTTAGTTTTAAAACAATCAAAAGATTATATTGAACAAAGACAGTTTTCTACAACAGTTTTTATGATAAAGTAAATATAGTTATATTTGTTGACTCTTTGTCTAATTGTATTATTCATGAAACAAATGAAACTTCCATAAATTCATTATGCATATAGAGTTCTATGTTTTGTTGAAAACGACCCATGGAAAATGGACTGGTGTTCTATAATTGCAAACTTAATGTTACTTTGGCAAATTATGTGAGCGTACCTTTGTTACAAGAAAGATATTTCAGCAGACTGTGCATATTCTATGACCAAACCAGTTTTCACAATATCTTCATAGAACAAGGATGCGCTGATACATAAAATTAACATTCACAAGTTTTACGGATCACACAGCGTTAGAAATTTATTTCTGTCGCAATGTCTTTACCTCCGTCTCCACTATGCGAATATAAACTGTACTGAGTATTTTATACTATTTCTACAACTATTGAGCTCAAACTAAAAAAATCGAATTTAGTATTTTAAACAATCTTATTCATTTTTTTTCTTACATTTTGATCCTTTTCTAACTGTAGCTTGCCTTTGTGCACAAAGCTCAAAGTTTTGGATTGAAACCATTGGGGATTCGGAAATAGGTACACAGAAACTGTGCTGCCTCTATAATGCATAACATTTTATTATATAAATTAAATGGCAATGTCAGGTCATCATGTAATGGATGTTCTATGAATACGGTTGCTTACAAAATGAAATGTAAAAAAATGATTGAACGTTTTATATTCATTTATTTTATCATACAACCATCATTAAGGAGGGGAATTAAATGGCATGGCCGAAAATTCTGCAATGCTATTCTTTACACACATACACCTACAAGTCCAAAAATACAATTTGCTATTTTCTATAGAATATGGTCAATGCTGAAATACATAGAAGACATTTTAGTCGATCTTTGTTTAAGTCTGAACAATATTAACGTTACAAAGAATGTGTATGCATCGTAAGGTCCTTCAGTAGAGTAGAAGGATTGTTTACAAATGTACTATAAAGTATATATTGTACCTGCATCATAGGAAATGAGCTTACAGTTCTTCATTTTCTCCAAAACTATGAGAACAAAATTAAAAATTTATGAGAAAATATTACAATGAGCAGTTTAAAAAGCTTATGGCATCCACATGGCATAAACACGCTTGAATTTCGGAAGTGCATTTTCTAGTAATGTTTCCACAAATTTTCTTTCTACTAATTTTCTTTCTACTAATGTTCTTTCTACTAATGTTCTTTCTACTAATATTCTAAATCTGACAATAATAATAGTAATAATAATGGCACTGTCAATGGCCAAGATGTAACAGTTTTACGAGACACTGGGTGCACTACTAATAAATAGGTAGGTTGTGGGGTTGTGGGATGCGTCGTTTTCTTAAAGCACTTTTACATATTATTGGCTATATCGAACATCCGATTTCCGATCACAATGTATGTCCTAGGGAAAGATGTTTTGTTCCCTTTGTCTCATCATGTGTTGTTGTTGTTGTTGTTGTTGTTGTGGGGTTTAACGCCATTTTTCAGCACAAGATAGGCTATACATGGCGGCCAGTATTAATGGTGGAGGAAGAACCCTGGAAAACACAGGAAAGAACAACCGACCCACGAGAAGCTACTGGCAGGCTTTCTCACTTACCCACTTTAGCCGAGTCTGGACTCGAACTCACGCAGACAGAGGTGAAAAGTGTTAAAAGTTAAAAGTGTCGTTAATAAAATCAACGGCAAAAGCAACCCCACCTTTCATATAACGATAATCTTTGTAAGGGATATATATCTTCGACAAAAGGTAAATTGAACCAGCGTTATCTGTCTTAATATGTACGTGCAGGTTCATGACTAAATAAATGTAACCCTGAATTGGTAAACTTTGTGTACTCGGCCGGGGATAAAACCCGCGATCTCCCGCATCAGAGACGGGCGCTCTAATCACTAAACCACCGGAGCGGTCATGTAGATCAGAGTCTTTATTCACTTTTTCGTCGATCCCTAACGTTAAGACTTGCGATACCATAGCACTCCGCTATATAACTTCTGTCATATTGATGGGCTCCAGCTTGGAATAATGCAAGGAAAATCTCCGAGAAGCCCTCTGATAACTTTGGACCATACAATTTTTCGAGAAAGAGTGCAACAGTTTGGAATTCCATATTGTTGCGCTCAATTTCTCGAGAAATGCCGTATTCCAAGTTGGAACCCAATATAGTTACATAAACTGACCAATGTCCAAAAATGTCCTCGTTATTTAACTATAATAGGGTTACCATATTTGAATTGTCAGAAAAGGAAGACAGGAGGACATGTCCAGGAAAAAGAAATCGTATGGCAGCCATACTTTAACATTGACTTTTGCCGTATTTATTACTCGTGGCGTTTAAATAATGACTGTCCGAAATTGGAATATGGATGTATGAGGATCCAAATAAAGTGAATAATTGCCATTTAAAGATATGTGTAAAGCAATTATAGAAAACGACACCTATTGCTAAAACTATAAAATGCCTATTTGACCTATATGACCCATCAGAATGTCTCTCGGCCATTTCCTTCATAGTTTGAAATAACCTCGAAAGTCGATGAAGGAATACACAACAATCTAATGTGATTATTGACAATTTGATTTTAATTAGATTGTGTGCAGTAATACATCGAAGGTCGAGTGCACTGCTTATATTATGGCAAACAAACCCGAAGATATTCAAGTTGTGACCTTGTCTCCTTTCGCTGTGAAAGTAGCTCTCTCAATGGCGACAAATTACAGCCGATGTTTCTTCATCGACGTGACGGAAAAGGCCGAGGATATTTCGATTTCTACATATGATCCCTTCCCACCATGATCAACAGCATATTAAACTCCAGCGGTTAGCGTCCATCCTTTACAGAAACCATTAATTATATCTATGTCATGAGGGTACAGATATTTAGTGCACTATCCATTCTTACTCTCGTATGTTTGTAGTTTATGCTGGATTTGTGTATTTTATCAGGCAAGCAGTGGAAGGAATAGCTACTGCTTCTGAATGAGATGCTTCAGTAATTCTTCGAGGTCTCGTAAAAACGCGGAACATACAATATGTGGTGTATTGGAATAACTGAATTTTTCCTCTTGCTTATCATTGGACGCTGTGATTTAGTTGGTAGCAGTTTAGTTTACAAAAAAGTTGGTCGTTTGACTCATTCCAGCGGTGTAAGAAACTTCTCTGCATCTTTCTTATTCGGATACATTTCTGTGAAATACGTATCCGGTAGAAAGAATATAGATCCGTTATTTTTTATTTTTAAAAAATGGATATAATTAAATCAACTATATTTGTCATCATCTTGTGAATTGAATTTAACACAATAAACATCTAAACTGAAAATATCATTGTTCATTATATTTCTTTGCACTTTTTGAAAGTTTTGTATACTACTGTATGGATTTTAAACTGACGTGTAAATACATTTTATTTAAAAAAAAAAAAAAAAAAAAAAACTTTATTATAATTTCCTCCACCCACATATATCTTAAATGACACATAAATTCAGTAATGATACCAAGGCTAAAAGGTCTTGTGATCTACCCAATAGGAATATGCATGATTGTTGTAGAAAGTAGCAATCAAATATACCACATTTTTCTATATAGATAATTCAAGAAAATAAAACAACGTACGAGAGAGAGAGAGAGAGAGAGAGAGAGAGAGAGAGAGAGAGAGAGAGAGAGAGAGAGAGAGAGAGAGAGAGAGAGAGAGAGAGAGAGAGAGTTTAAATACAAAATAGCATTCTTAAATTTCTAGTCATCAAAAATAATTACTGTATATTATCTCGGTGTGGGGTTTATTTCAAACTCATCCTTTAATATTAAATTCTACATCACCCATGTGAACTTTTCAGTGTTGATATAAATAAAACACTTCTCATAGTTAAAACAATTAATTTTATTCCCCAACCTTACAAAAAAAAAATAAAAACAGTTTCTTAGTAATGCACAATATGAAAACACGAGTTCAAACAGCTCAATGACATTTTCATACACATTAATATACGACAAAGCTTGGGGTATTGCAACGGTTTTTTTTATTATTTATTTGAAAAGTGAGACTTAATAAGCTTGTTGCTTTTACAGTCCCGACTTACAATAGATATTTTTGAAAAAGTGTGGTGATGGGTTTATGTGATTTGAATTTTAACGTAGCTTTAACAATTTTTAAGTCATATTGATGCAGTGTCTACAGTGGCAGTTTATAGTCATGCCTAGCGTTGGGACATCATATCGCAGACATCTAGCATCATATTCCATATATTCACGTTATCATGACACCAGGTTGATCTTTCCCAACACTAAACAGTTAATGCTGAACGCCTAGCGAGGCAGCTGTTAGTACCATTTTTTAAAAGTCTTTGGTATGACTCGGACGGGGTTCAAACTCGCGACCTCCCCCATCTGAGACGGACAGTCTAACCACAAGGCCATCTGAATTGAAAAATGAATGTTGGCTCTAGGTATGATGGTACCCGTTGAACAAGCCCGTGGAGGGATGGGGGAGGGCGGAGTTTAATGTGTAGGGAACATATTATTCAGAAATAAACAACAAAACTAGCTTTGATATGTATATTATGTAGAAGTTATAGTTTCTGTCAGTCTTCAAAAAAAGTTCTGTCTCTAGGATGTGTTTTCGAATACTGGCATTGCGGAAGATAGCTTATACATGGCGCCCAGTATAAATGATGTAGGAACAACATGGGGAAAACCGAATGGAAACTACATGTTGCTTTTTTCACATATCCACAATGACCGAGCCTAGGACTCGATAGAGTTGGGATGGCACTGATCGGTAAAATGCTAGTGTTTTAGACCACTTTGCCACCTGTGATCCAAAGTCTCTTGGTAACATGCTAAAGTATATTAATTAATTTCTCGATCGTAATTTGTTTTTAATTTTATGATTGGTAACATGTGAAATTATGTTAATTCATATCTAGAACATATTTTGTTTTCTATGATTTGAAAAAAATAATAATTCAAATCTGTGAAAATGTATGTTGTGGCTGTATAACGCTTACCCCTATTTATTTCCATCAGAGTTACCCGTCTTAAATGAAATGGCGTACCTGATTCTATCCTTGTCAAATTGACAATCTAACATTGATCCCTATGACAGGGTGTAACAAGTATGCTGAGATCCATAAAAAGTATATTTTTTTTCACCAAACATTAGCACTTAGGTCAATATAATTGGTCCTACAGATTTCACAAGATTGACTACAAATAACACGTTATGGGCTTGATACCAAACATCATAGTCTTAAGATGTACAAAGACAAGCCATGTGATATAAATGTGCGGTCAAAAATATGCACATTACAGCATCCGCGGACAACACATCGTAGCGATGCTAGACATGTGCTCCACATCACCGGAGCTTTTATCGTTGCTTACAATTTACCTATCAATTATTTATATGAACTACGAGTAACGACACTTAGGTCCCTTCTCGCTCGACGTAGTTAGTAGATATCTTTTATAGTACGTGTATGACTGATGGATAAAGTGTATGCAGCAACACGAACGTCTTAGCTTCACACATATGAACATTCAAAATCACGACTATCCAAACAAGTATACTTATTTGTGACTTAACATAACAAAAAAAAAATACCCCCTTCGCAAACTGATTTTAATAGACGGTTTTTCTTAATTGTCACAAATAAACACTTTATGGACAAAAGTGACACGTTAGGATAGTGCAGCTGATCATATTGTCATCAAGTAAATATGCTAAAGATTGCGCGCTGAACTACAAATAATCCAGATGCACCGTACCAGCATAACCAGCATAAGAGCAAATCTGTTATTTTATAATACCGTGGAGAGAGAGAGAGAGAGAGAGAGAGAGAGAGAGAGAGAGAGAGAGAGAGAGAGAGAGAGAGAGAGAGAGAGAGAGAGAGAGAGAGAGAGAGAGAGAGAGAGTGACTACTATTAGTAGTTAAGTGAATAAAGAAACTTAGTTGCAACAACAGAGAATGGAAAATATATACATGTACTAAGATTAATTAAACGTTGAAAGTCGGACTACGGAACTTTAAGTTACTAGTTCATATTTGTAAATATTCTTAAAAGTGCAGATGTTTCAGCAATATCTTTAGCAGGATTCCATAGAAAGGAAGATAGGACAAAAACTACATCAATTTTTTATTTGTAAAGTATATTTACCTTGAGTGGATTGCCTGAAGATTCGAGAATTCTTATTGAAAGGGTGGGGTTAACAGTACGGGGTTCAAAAGTGTAATCGTAAACGTGCTGTTGTAAATTATATTTGCTGTTTCCTAAATTTTCTTTTTTTTTGTATTTTACTAGAGAATTTATGTGTTCACATATATTCAAAAATTGCCATCCGTAGAAGCTCTTAGAGCCATAACCATTATCAGGAATAATAATTTACCTAAATCTGAGTTTTCTCCCTTTACATATAAAATTCCAATGAAAGGCTGTAGGATATGTTGTTCTGTTACTAATTTATTTTTAGACCATACCATTTCTTACAATAATTATGAGAACAGACTGTGTTTTGTCAAAAGAGAAGTGGCACTGTGCAGCAAACATGGTGGGACCTTTTATTATCAGTTTGTCTTTATTTTTTATTCCACCTTTAATGACTACCTTTTTTCAGAAAGCAGAAAGACAAGGTGGTAAACAGTGGGATAACAGATTTTGATGTTATTTTATGCAAGTGGTTTTTTTGTGAAGAAAATCCCTGGATACCATGATACTGCAGACAACAATCCGTAAATAAGAGGCATTACACACAAAGTTACAAAGAACCAACAAAATAAAATAGTCACATGTTCTAGAACATATCTCGGTAAATGCACACTGCATTGGACATGCAGAGGGGGGATGTTCAAATTCTATTATAAGACACTTACAAAAATTGGAGCAAATCCTTGCAAGACATTTAAAGTAT